TTAACACTGGGCACTATTGATTTTCAGTTTATTTTCCTCGATGCTGGACTTTCCTTGTTTCCCTCTTTCATAATTTTGGGCTTCTGTCTTGGTGGGCTTCTGTCCTCACACTCCTTAAGGAAGGCAGTCATGCCCAGAGCTGCCACCTTTGCTGATAGACCTCAACACTGATCCCTCTCCCCAGAGCCCCAGGCTTGTGGGTCACTGCCTGTGGACACACCAGAAATCCACAGCCCACTTTAGATCAAGCTACGTACATACATTCTGGCTAATAGGATGGAAGGAGAAGGGGGGCCTGTAGGGTAAAGAAAATGTCAGGCTTTTCTGCCCTTCCGCCATCAGGATAGATGATGGATCCTTGTCCTGAATGCATGCCTGATGGCGGGCACCTGGAATAGGGTGTGGGCATAGGTAGATGGGATTCAGCTGAGCTAAGACTGTGCTTTTAAGGGCGGCGTCACGGGGACACCAGCAGCAGCAGCAGGAGTAGAAGCCAAAGCAGAAGCCGAAAGGGAAGCCGAGAATCCGCAGAAGCAATGCCAGAGAGCCCAGATAGAGTAAAGACTTGCTGGGGGCTGGGAGGCCTGCCAGCCCCCCAGCCAGCACCCCTGCCTGCCATATGCCTGGTGAACCCCAATAAAAGACCTGCAAAAAAGCCACTGAGGACTTTGACTCCTCCTTTACCCGGTCTGCATGGGATCAGAAAACCAGCACTGTGTCCTGTCCTGCCCCTATAGGGCCTGTCCTCATTCTCATTCTTCTTCTCGTGTAGAATGTGCAGTGATGGTTGGAGCTCAAGCAGCCATATTGGACCATAAAGATCGTGAAGATGGTGAAGCTACAAAATGGGAGGATCTCTGTCTGCAGTGATTGTGGAGACACCAGCTTGGAATGGCTTACCTCTTTACTTTGTCTCGGGGAGAGAACAACTTTTGTCTCGTTTAGGCGATTATTTTGTGATTCCCTCACAAGCAGCTAAACCAAAGTTTAATACACAAGACCTTTCCAGCCTTATTCTCCATCTCCATACACCATATGCTCACTTGGCGATACTAAACTATATGCACCTACCTCTACTTCCATCCCTTTGCACAGCATTTACTGAAAGAATCTCATCTCTTACTTCCCTCATTCCTGTCACCAAGCTCAAAAGCTTTGTGGCTTGGATGTGCCTACATAAACCAAGACAAGTTTTATCTGAGAAAGAGGTGTCTGCGAATAAGGGAGACAAAGAATATGAATTCTTTCACAGAATACCTCCTCGGGACCCTGCTGGGGAAGCCCTCTGAGGAGCAAAAGGGCAGAAAGGAGACAAGAGCTCTTGTCCATTGGTTCCTGGGGTGTTGGTTGTTGCTGGTCATCTCCCAGTTAGATGGGCAAGTTCAGAGAGGTTCATGCTTCCACATATATTGCATGTGGAAATGCAGAAAATGGTGGCTCATCTCCTGCCCTAGGCAGAGATTTTAGTATTATAATGAAGTTTGTATGAATTTGGGATCAGAAACTCAGACACTGGGTATATTGCCTCAATTTTCGACCTGGGCAGGTTGCAGGAGTGGTTGGAATCTGGTAATGGGCAGAACCAAATGTGAAACTCCAGTTTGTCTGACTTGAAGCAGTAGCCCCCTCTATACCACGTGGAAGGTTCCATATCAGTGAGCAGGCTGGGTTGTGGCTGAGTGAAGGCCATAAATTCATCCCCCTTGTGGTTCTCCTTTGAAGTCATCACTCTCAGCTGCTTTTCACATGCTGGGTGGTGAAGAATGAGTAAGTGTCTTCCTGAACCTGACCTCAGTTTGGGAAGGGAAGGCTCTGCTTTGGATTTGGGCATTCAGGATATTGTGTTTTCTTTTCACAGGCTTTAGAAATAAAAAATGGCTGAGGACACAATGTGAGCTGGTGGAGAAACCACGTGAGCTTTAGAACCAGAGGCACCTGGATTTTAAGCCCATTGTAGGGTAAGGAAAAATGTAAGGCTTTTCTGCCCTCCTGCCATCAAGATGGATGATGGATCCTTGCGGTCCTGAATGCATGCCTGATGGTGGACACCTGGAATAAGTTGTGGGCAGATGTAGATAGAATTCACCTGGGCTAAGACTGGGCTTTTAAGGGTGGCGTCACGAGGACTCCAGAAAAAGCTGAAAGAGAAGCCAAGAGAGAAGGCCGGGGAGCCCAGAGTGAAGACCTGCTGGGGGCTGGGAGGCCTGCCAGCCTACCGGGCCCCCAGCACTCCTGCCTGCCGTGTACCTGGTAATCCCAATAAAAACCTGCAAAACCACCAAAGATTCTGACTCCTCCTTTACCCAGTCTGCTGGATCAGAAAACCTGCTCAGTGTCCATTCCTGCCTTTACACCCATCTTTCCCCTTATTTGCTGCATGATCCAGGGTAAGGGCATGTGGCCCTGAAAATGGTTGTTACGTTGTTCACTTCCAAGAAAATGTCTGTGAAGTATGAAAGTCAGAATAACCCCAGGATGTCCATCATACTTCCAAGAAAAACTGGTGTTTTATAGGAAAAGCAACTAATGCAGCCTACAAGTCACAAAATCACATAAGTGCTTTTTCTAAAGATAAGCAAGGTACTTTAGATTGTAGCAGAAAATGCTTGATGCCAACTTCCCATCTCATCGCACAGAATATTAAGGAGTATAACAACAAGGGTAGAAGTGACAAAATTGATTACTTTCACTTTGTTAAGTACATTCTCAGTGGAAACTGGCATTTTCAGAGTCACCAATTTGTGGCAGTGAAGAGTGGCTGCCAGAACTGTTTGAAGCTGCTGGGTTCCTTCAAGCTAAGGCACCTGCAGAGTTTACCTGCCATAGCTTTGCTCTATCAATGCACAGGTCAAGATAGAGAAAAAGAGTAAGTCCTGTGAGTCTGCTACTCCTAGGCAGCCTATTTGGCCGCCATTTTGTCACCTAAACAAGGTCAAAGTGGTCTGGCCGGTTTGGAACAGGAGCCCAACCCTCAAGCCCTTCAAATCAAACAAGAGTGCAAAGCTGGATCACACTGGGAAGGTTATGCATCACAAGGTATGTCCAGAATGCCCGGGGGTGCTGAGGACTGATGCATAACATGTGCATCAGGAGGTATGTCCGGAATGCCCAGGGGGCTGAAGAACGATACTCCTGACTTTACTCCTGACTTATACATCGTGAGGGACAAGGGACCCCAGAAGCTGATCAGTGGAGCTCCTTGTTGATAAGATTAGAACCAAGGCTGGGGATTAGGGTGTATCATCAAGTAGATTAGAAGTGCCTGGAGGGCAGACTCACCATCCCTAATCTTCTACACCCTTCCCCTTTCTTTAATCTCCTTACAACCAATTACGTGTGTAAATAAAAGGGCCAGGATCTTGCTCTTCATCCTGCATTGTGCAGCCTGCTCCACGACTCCCGTTTGTCAGTGTGGTGGTGTTCCACTCAACAAAGGCCAAAGTCTTAGTATTATTATAAAAACCATTTTGCCCACACATACCCTAAGGGTCTGCAGATTACACTTTGAAAGCAAATTTAAGTCTTCATCTCAGGGCATCGCTACCTTCATTCCAGTTTTCTATGACACTTACTGGATAGACTCAGCATTTTGGTGTTTGTTTCTTTAAATTGTTTCAAGGATGTACACATCACCTTGCTGTGTTTCCAACAAGACATAACACCTACTTGGTAGGCAATTCAGCAAATGCTTTTCTTTGAAATAGCCTGGCCCCTTGCTGTCATTTTCTTTGGTTCTGTGTACCACTCTACTCGTGTAAGTTTATGAAGAAAAGCAGTAGCTCCCCAATGCTTGTTCCCATGTTGCTCTGTTGAACATGGAGGGAGAAGATGTAACATATTTTAAAGAATTAAACAAGGAGGCCATTAGACTAATGTGGCTCTAATGCCTTGGTTGCCTACAAAAACAAACCAAACTTAAGCCAGACTCAGTGCACTTGAATCTGAGAAAAGGAAATTTAAAAATACCAATCACAAACACCTTAGTGGATATTTCCAAATAAGGTAGATGCTTAAGCTATGGCCAAATAATATCCTTGCTTTGCTTCTGAATCTTCTCAATGAAAATT